GGTGGTATTGGCGTTTAACGATACAGATGATGCATTTTTAGCGCGATGCCTAACCTCCTTCAGTTTTAATGCGGTGCTTGATGGGAATAATTGGGATTTACTCGCTGTCACACTTTCTACAAATGAATCGCTTTTGGTGTTCCACATTCGTTCAAACATTGTCTTTCGTACTTTGGCGATAGTGAATGTATAATCTTTACCAGTGGCATGAGTATACATGTTGAACAGAGCAACAGTAAAACTGGTTTACTATTGAAACATTCGCGATGGAACTTGCCAAGGAAACTGCTACACTGGATTCCGATCTGTACACTTTTATGGCATGAAGGCCACAAACTACTATCGATCTGGATGCGGTAACATGGGCTTTTGATTGATCGCTACAATCCATTGCGTCTATCGATGGTATTCCGAGAGAGGCCCGAGCGCTTATGGTTTCCTGTCGGTTGCGTATGCGCTGAATTGTCTGCATGTTCAAATTCGTCACGGTCCATGTGTCCGGCCCAAGTTAGGCAGGTTTAAGCGGCAAAGTCTGAGGAGGTCTCTTGATGGTAAACTTGAGTCGGAACCGGTTTCAAAAGAATTGTCAAGAACAAGTTAGGGAAGAAGAAAATGCGCAGTGCTGGATTGCAAGTTGGACTCAGGCAATGTCATGCTAACAATGCACAAATTCCGCTTATCCTGTCCGGTAATGTACGATCACTTCTCTGGGAAATTGTCAATCTAGAGAAACATCTGCAAGGAAGAGTATTTTCGAACGCAGGTGCAGTGATGTTACATGAGTCGTGAAACTCAATGGATAGTGACATACTAGATCCGACAGCCCAGGAAAGCCCTAGCACCGCAGAGGATGTGTGATCAACTACAATAGTGGACTGGTGCAAATCGACTTCATGGCTGCCTGCTCCCTCAACAGCTTCAATAAGCCGCCATCAGTTTCTTAATGGTTTTCTATCTGTAGTTGTTTGGGACGCTTATGTAACGCCTGACAAATCACCAATCATCCTCATTAATCACGTTATCCGAGGGTGAATAACACACACCTCCGCTAATGTGCCGCAATACAAGAAAGTTAAACAGTTAGCAATGCGGACATAAAAGCTATAAAAAAAGTAACATTACGCTAACATCACATTTTTTGTGGTTGTTAGGGGGGGGGGACTAAAGGAAAGGGGAGGGACAAAGGAACTCGCAGCACAAATGTCACTGAGATCGGCTCGTTGCCATGAAAACTAGTGTACCCAACCAAACGTGTTCATCGTCCTTCGGTCCCCAGCCAGGCAGTCGGGAAACATCAACCGACGCCAACTTCGAAGTGAGGGAGTTCATTCCTCTCGACCAAACCAACGCTTGGCTACCCATCCTCTTCGTCCATCCACACTCCCGGCACGCAAACAACGCACGTCGCGGGAGTCGGTGGGCTGACATACGCAACATGTGGCCCAGCCATCGGAACCTGGTGCGTGATATAATGGTGCTGAGCGGTTCACTAGCGCTTCCTGCATCAAATACGTAACGCCGAAGCGCCTGACGCAGCCCAGTCAGATATGAAAAGTTTGAAGACCAACTTATCTCTGAGTTGCAATGTAAGTTAGAATCTTCTATCTGTACCATGGTTTGTGACTTCAATAGATGGCTGGCTGGCCGAACAACCTCCTCGTGGTGCCAGCTGGTTGGTATGGGTACAACCGGTTCCAGAAATAGTTCGGCGGCAGTGTTCCAGGACAAGGTAGGTTTTCGCTTGGCGAGCGTTTCCCTATGCAAAGCCACATATGTCTGTTAAACAACACTGTGACGTGGCGGTTGTGACCCGCCACCAAATAAAGTCACCCCATTGCTTACCCGGACAACTACTTTAGGTCCACAGATATCAAGCATTTATTTAGCACTGCGACAAGTTCAAACACAATCGACGTGCGGGAACACATCTACAAATACTACAAAAACAGCTACACACGCATACACACATTCATTCATATGTCTACATATGTGACAACCCTATTGTTCCATTGACATTAACTGACCATATTTCGTACTCTTAACTTGATCGTGCCTTTAGTTATTTATTTATTTAGTAACACGCTAAGTCAAACCAAATTGGTGAAATTCCCCACCAGACTCTACGCACATTGTGATTTAGTTTTGACAGCAAACACCCTGTTTTCCATAAAAATACCTGCTCTTTCTGACAATTCGGACCACTGTATCGCGAAGACATTTCCCAAGAATTAATGTAAGTGCAACTATGCTGTGATCAAAAAAGGCCATTTCGAACTGTTAAACGGTAAAACTTCCCAAGAAAGATTGTAAGGCCCAACTCGATGCTTTATTCAACTGATTTTTCAATTTTCGCCAACGAGTACGTCATCTATACCATTTTATACGCATGTTATCGCATTGTATCAAGCATTTAGCGTGGTACATTTTCGAAATCGTGTGCAGTGCTTTCAAGTTAGCGAGGCTAAGAACGCTGTTTTGCGTCGTTGACACTCTCACTGGTCACGAGACGTTACCCAATGGGACAGCGGTTGGAAGCCCACAGCATAAGTGACAGACAGTCCAATGAAAGTGATCAAACACCACTTTCTGTTCTATTTTGATGCCTATCTGAAGGAAACCTCCCTAACTTGAAAGTACTGCACGCGATTTCGAAAATGTGCCACGCTAAAAGCTTGGTACAATGCGCTAACATGCGTGTAAAATGTTGTAAATGTGAGCACCTTAGAGATTATATAAAGTGCTGTTTCAATTGGTCTTGTGGATTGATAAATTTTCATTTCCATTACTCAGGCTATTGCGTAGGCAAAAAAGCAGGCAAAGTAACTGTTTGTGTCGAATGACTGCCGGTGGCTATAAAAGCCGAGATAAGGTTAAACAGTGTGTATATTGAGGCCGTTTTAGGAAAACAAAGTTGCCGTGATCTGTGAGCCTGAAGCAACTTACCGGCAACGCACTCGGTACTGTGGATGTGGGCAAGTTCAACTCAGAATTCCACTCCTCATCATCAAACACATTATCATTATTTTCCTACCTCATTATTGATCCTCCCAATTTATTTGACCACATTAGTGTTTACAGAAAACACACAAGACTGAACCCAAATAATGTTACTGGTCCACATGCTCTATCTCTGATCACTCTGAAAGAGCGTGCGGATGCAATAGTCACCTCCGACAGAGATTTGCAACCGATGTTTAACGATCGACACCATCCCTGACATCTGGAAAGCAGCCAATAACACTAGGGTAAAGAAGGGGGCACTGAAGCATCGGCTAATAGCGTACACAACAATTCCGTTGAAGGTGTTTGAAAACCAGTTATCCAAACACTTTCACAAGCGACCAAGCATATAGCAAACAGTTTGTCCACAAGTCAAAACGTCCTACACTGAATGTCTTTTCCTATCCTGTGCATTCCTAGCATCTGCTCTGGATTAAAAAGTGCAATCATAAATCTGTCCGTAGAGCTTCTAAGTGCTGTGTCCGTACACAATCGCTATGGAGAAAGTCATATTTTTGGGGCCAACCATTGTCATCTGCAGAGTTCGTAACTGGCATGGCAGTGAAAGATGAGCCGCGCTACATCTTAATCAACTGTTAGTCATGCAGGTCCGCCACCGTCAGCCATGGATTAGTGGCGCGAGCTGCTGGCATCCGGAAGTCAAGGAGGCGGAACCCAGCAGGGGTCCGAGAAACACGCATCACTGACGAGACCCAGAAGGTCGAAACGACTGTCTGATGCTTTTTCAGAAGTGTAGGAACCTGCCTGATTGAGACAGGGCTGCGACAAACTACGTTGAAAAAATGTAAAGTCGTACAGCGCCTGTGCATGGATTAGAACAATGCCTTTTGGAGCCTCGACAGACCGTCACAACTAGACGTTTGCTCGAAAACGTGATCCTCCAAATGTACGTAAATTAATACAGTACTCTAAAAATCGTACACACTTCACGAAACTATGTAGCAGAAAGTCATCCGAAATCCCAGTCAATTGTGTTGCTATACAAAGGGCAACTTTATCACTTCTTCTATTTGCCCTTAATGCTGAATGGCTACTCATGCCGTCCAGTTTCATGGGAGGCAAATATGCTGATGACGTCGTCTTAAGATGTATAATTTATAATTAATTAATTAATTAATTAATAATAATTAAATGTTAGATTAATTAATAATAATTAATTAATAATTAAAGGACCTTCAAAACGCCAACCAGAATTAGGCAGACTCTTGACTTGGTTAAGATACCGACCTATCTTCTCCAATCCTTGTAAGTGTCATGGTGTCACTACTCTTTTCTCCGCCCCGACAGACTACACTTCTCAGTTGGTCGTGAATGAGCAAAGTATCCCTCGTCCATACATTGTAAAGTATCTCGACGTTTTCATGTTTAAAAATTTATGCCGGTTGACGCATGTTTTTGAAATCTTTTAGAGGACCATCCTTTTAGACTCGCAGTCTCAAATCGCTTTCCATCCCCTGCATTCTAATTCTAAGGTTTGTAAAAGCATATGTTCACCCAGTTTGTCATATTGTGCTCGGACTGCTTCAAAACAATTATACTGTTCTTGTGTGTCCAATAAAAATTATTTCCCGATGCTCTGGATTAAGCAGAATCCAGAGCTGTTCTTTTGAGTAACAGGCATTTAGACGCATACGTTAACTTTTCATGCAAGATTCTAAACGACCCCTCACCTCTTACGCACTGTGTTATCCAGTATGGCATGTACTTTTTTCACACGGTCAAAAGTTAAAACTTTTTCTCGTACCTCATTTTATCTGCCGCATTGTTTAGTCGACCCAACAGCAATGATGCAACAGTTGTGAGACCGCTTGTTTAAATCGAAAGGCACTCTTTTTGTTTTCTCCGTCACTTGATATTTTATTCTCTAATGATGTCATGTTGCAGTAGAGATGCAACGTTAGTGTAACCAGCTGAAAACGCTCACGACTTGACTTAGCTGGGATGTGACAAAATCCGGCACGGACCGAAAACGGACTCACTTCTTCGGCTGAAATTTCCAACAAATCGCCCAAATTAGCCAGGCTAATATTGTTGTAAATCAGGCTTGCTGCGATCATGTTATGTTCGACAACTGCGCGCTTCAGAAGATGCTGCACAGACTGGCCACCAGTGAGAATGCTGGAGCCACTGGGCGGTTTTTCTGCAAGAGTAGATGAGGTGGACTCCAGTAAGTGGGGGTAGAACTTCTCGAATAGCGATTGCAAACTGCGCAGAGACGAACAATCGATCAGGCGACCCCTGTACCTGAAAAAGGATGGAACACACAAGAGTGGGGATAAGCAGTAGAAAAATAGGGGCTGATATGAGACTACGTAATTTAAGTGTGCTGTGCGTGGTGGTTCAGATGAGTCCCCGTTCCTGAGACGGTTTGGACCCTCTGCGGTATCCCAGCCTGCGTGTAACGTTTCACACTCAATAGGGAGACAGCACATGTAAGGTTGAGTATGCCCATCATCATCATCATCAACAACAGCAGCACATCAGCCATTTGAACTGATGCTTCGCTGCCATACACCCAAAAGGACCTATGAAATAAAGAATAAGAAGAGGGAGAGAAGGGGGGATTTACCTGAAAACCTTAATGCCCTAAGCAAACATTCAGGGTCAAGGCGCGTACACCTTGTGTAGACAACATACCGTCACAAACAGCTGGCTATCGTGCAAAGATAAGGCGGCATCGGCGAGACAGTTTCCTTGCGGCTTTCACTGCCACGCGTCATAATCAGCCATTACCCCGCAGATAACTCAGTAACACACACAATTTAAACATACAGTCCGGTATAGACGGCAGCAGGCGTGCCACTGGTGTCGGCTGCCAACCATGTCCTGTGAAGTCTCGAGCCAAGCACAGGGTGAGTCATGTGGACTCCAACCCGGAAGGCGAGACGGACCAACGGCACCCAGTTTGGTCGTCAGTGACTTCATTTCCCGCTGCCAAGTCAACTTCTGTCCACCTCGAGCCCTGCGCCATCCTACACCTGGTAGATTGAACAAGGTCCTCCTAAGTAAGCGGTGACCAGGCATGCGTAGCACGTGCCCGAACCAACGCAACTTATTCAGTGCTATCTGTTGTTCTAGGGTGCTAGCATGATTATCACTACCTAGTACTCGCCTACGCACATCATCGTTGCGGACACGCTGGTGCCATCCGACACCAGAAATGCTTCGCAAACAACGATGATCAAAGACTTGAAGGCGCCTCAGCTCTTCAGACCGAAGGGGCCAAGTCTCATTACCATAGAGCAGAACGGCCCTCACTGTGGCCTTGTATACACGGCCTTTCAGACGAAGGGGAACTCCCTTCTGTCGCCAAAGATGCCGCAGGTTCAAGAAGGCAGCTCTAGCCTTTGCAATGCGTGAGCTCACGTCAGTTTCTATGCGCCCATCATTGGTGATGCAGCTGCCAAGATAAGTGAAATGATCAACCACCTCGAGTTCCTCGTTAGCAAGTGTCAAGGGGTCATAAAGTGGCTGGTGGTCCTGCAGCAACACTTTGCACTTTGAAGGTGCGAAGTGCATACCAAATAATGAGACCACTCTAGACAGGCTATTCAGGGTTGATTGTGCCACCGCAAAATCGTCGAAAAGCAAGACGATATCGTCCGCATAATCTAGATCAACTAACCTTTCACCAGGCAGCACTTCAACGCCTACATCGTTGGATTCCGTCAGGGAACACTCCATGATAGAATCCACGACGAAATTGAACAAAAATGGGGAAATGGGACAACCCTGACGAACGCCACTTGTAGTCGAAAGCTATCCGATAGGACACCATAGACCCTGACGCGGCCTGTAGTGTTCGAGTATAGAGCACGAAGGATGTTCACATATTCGTGGGAACACCTTTCCGCGCAAGTATTTCGAACAGAATCGATCGATCGACTGAGTCGAACGCACTCTTGAAATCGAGGAACACAGCTATTGTCGGTCTGCAGTATGCGTGGCGCTGCTCTAGCGCTTGCCGCAAAGCAAATATATGATCTATACAGCCAAGTCATGGGCGAAAACCGGCCTGCTCTTCCCAGTTGAATCTCAAAACAGTGCTGGACAGTCGGAATGACCAGAAGAATGATGATGGCATGGTGGTCGCCTACGCAACCTAGCAATTCAAAGTAAAAAATAGGGAAATGGAATTTCCACCACCAAAAGTAGAAATTCCCCCTGCACTGTTTAATCCATTATCTGTTCGAAGAGTTCGCATTCAGACCGAAGAGGGTACGGGAGTCGTTCCTTTCCAAATGGCCAAATCGCTTCATGGTCGGGACATACGTGATTACTTCTGGTGACAAAAGTAGGACTTTGTTCCTCACTTCATCCTTGAGTTATGCACATGACAA